CCTTGCCATCATGCTATCGTAATCAAGGATATGTGTGCCACATGTGGACGCGATCTGAGAGAGTAAGAAACTGCTTTTTTGTTTTTTTAATACATAGAAAATCGTTTATTTGCTAAGAATTCATGTAGAATTCAAACAGATATGATTACTTGTAATGTGCACATTCTTAAATCTCAAATACATATTTGCCTCTAACTGACGGTGTTTAAACAAGAGTATCACCTATGAGGAACTTCCTCCGCCTCCCTTTCCTCTTTATACCCTCATCACTCTCTTTCCTTCATCCTACTTCAAGACGCTCGGTATTGTGCTTAAGATTCACTACATGTTTTTGGACAGTTCCTGCATCTTTTAGCTGATTATGTCTTCTAGCCAAATTGATCTATTGCTTATAAACAGCTAGTGGATTTGAGGTCCCGAAAGTCGTTATTACTTGACTATAACTAGACAAATACGCATATCCGCGCTTAGAGTTTCAAAAAAGCGGTCTACGACCCAAAATTGCATTGCATGCATACTTTTGTGATATTTTTCACCTTGAGACTGACAATGGTGTTCCAGAAGGAATGGAAGAGCTGGACAGAGACGAGAGGATTCGACTGCCAACGTGTCAATGATCCATCATGTACCGGAGCTCATTGTTTCTGACGACGTAAGCTCCTTGCTCCAACAACAACCGAAAACATTCTGCCCATGTGATCACATTTTACATGAATTGTTTCTTGTAGCTGGCTAAGGAAATTGGTTCTGCCGACTTCAAGAATGTACTCTCTTCACGCAAGCTGGTTTTGCTAGTAGATCTTGACCAGACGATCATTCATACTACAAATCGCCCCTTCAAAGTTGATGCCAATGTGGTAATAACCTAAACATCTAACTAGTTGAAAAAGGCATCAGTTCCTATAGAACCACAAAGTATTGTTAATATCTTTTTCAGCATCATGACATTCACACATACAGGATGTTTGGAACAGAATATCATACAAAGCTGCGACCATACACACGAGAGTTTCTTGATCATATGAGCACACTGTTTGAGATGCACGTGATAACTTATGGTCAGCGACAGTATGCCCATAAAATCGCCGAGGTTTGTTTTCCTCTTTATTGTTATTGAGTAACTTTTGTGAGGCTTTTTTAGTATGTCAAATTCTTTATAGATCCTCGACCCAAAGAAAACATTATTCGCTCAAAGGATAATGTCCAGAGACGAGCTTTTCTCTGCACAGCATAAGACAAGAAATCTGCGAGCTCTGTTTCCATGTGGAGATCAACTTATCGCTATAATCGATGATCGTGCAGACGTTTGGCAGTTTTCTGAAGCACTTATACAGGTAATTGGATAGGCGCTTCATCTGTCATCTAATCATGGAATGGTTGGTCAGAAAAGCATTAAAGGCAGTGTACGGGCAAAACTAAGGATTCATTTTCATCAGATCACTTTGTTGATTCTCTAAGTTATCTCTCATCACACGAACAATTCGCGTAGTAAGCGAAAAATTCCTGTTTTAAAATATTTAGGTCGGCCTGCATCTTTTAGGTTATACCGGCCACTCAACGTGTTCTTCCTAGGCACCATGATTTCTCTCAAAAGCGTGCTTGTTAGCGAGAAAGGCATGCGTTCGTCGCGGACCAAACAAAACTCAGGTTGCCTATCTATAATTCGTCCGCATTGACCCCAAAAGAGAGCAGGAATCTTTGGATTTTTTTGGCAACGTATTCGAGGTCTTATCGTTCTTAACGTACCGCAGTGGTTTAGAAAAGGTAAACCACTTGCAGTCGGAGATTTGCGCTTACACTGCCTTTAAGAGAGTGAACCATAGAAACTTCGCATATCCATGGAGGAATTTTGGTCTTTTTGCATTCTAAAGGAATTGTGGTTAAGCAGTATCTGGGACGAAGACTCTCCAAACCAATTGTGTAAAGCCAGCAATTCGAAGCGCCGAAGAATTACTTATCAACTGAAGCTTTTCTGTACCAGGCGATGCTTTAGTTGCACAAATTTTTTTGGAGTACGAAAGAAAGACTTAATGTGGTTCTGCGCTCCTACCTTATTTTATAGACGTATGCGCTAGGTACAAGAGCATTCTATTATTAGATAATCATATCATATTCTCATCCATTTTGTACAAATTCTGAACGAAATGAGCGGATGTTTGTTGACTATAAGTTGCAGTGAGAGTTACAGTAGTTTTCTTTTCTGGCGTTTGCTGTGGATTAGTAATTGTGCAAACTAGTTTGTCAGCGCCCAACAGCAACAATCCATGGGTAACACTGTGCCTAATAACCACCAGCACATGTCTCTTATTTTTATAAATGTTTTTTTTGGTCTAAAAAATGTAGCACTTTTGTTTGCAGGTAAAGCCATACAGATACTTCAAAGAGGTAGGGGACATCAATGCACCTCCTACTGGGAACTCGAAGGAGGGATTACCTCCCATTGATATAGGTAACCAGGAGTTTTGTTGGTGTTTTTAACTGCAATATTGGCTTATAGAGGAGGATGCTGAAAGTGATCGTACTCTGGAACATATAGAAAGGATGCTGACTGATGTCCACGCTACTTTTTACAAGCATTATGACAAAACACAAGAAATTAGGGATGTCAAGGTTTGTGACAATCTTATGCTGTCTATGCTAGGCTGCTTTCGTTGTATAGGTTCCATACTCCAAAGACGAAACAGAAGAGCGATAGTGATTTAACAAATGATGTTGGTTTTTGACATACTATGGTACCTGACAAGAGGGAATAAGCAAATTCTTTTT